TACTGCAAGTATGATTCTAGAAAAGTTACTTAACAGAGAACTCACTGTATAATTACAAACAGTGACTTCTTCCCTTGATTACATGTATTGGGAGAATAGATAGACAAAATGCTACTGAGAGCAAAACGCATGCATCACCATTCTGAGCTCCCGGGCCCACAGCATGAGCTAATTTATAAAGATTAACGATGCTTATTACTAAAGACAGTGTTTCAAACAGCATTATAAACAATAAATGAATACTACTTTTTACAATCAGGTTTGGTTTTTTTCCTCCCCCTCACCCCCCCTTTCTTTTTTTTTTTTTTTTTTTTTTTTTTTTTTTTTTTTTCTATTTCTAGCTCCGCCACAAGTCACCCCACAGCCCCGGGGAAGTTAACTTCTCTGTCACTTTCTCCACCACCATCTGGGAAGAGTAGTTGCCTCCCCCAACCATCTATCCGCCTTTCCTTGAGCATTGCCCCTCTGACTCACCACTAATACTAGCTATGACTGTTGCTAATCTGTTCTCTTGACAGCTTTAGCACATGCTTGTGCCGGGTCATTTTAAACATTAACTACATCACATGCATATTTAGCCACCACCAACCTTTGCATCTCAATTACCTCATTCTGATGTCAAAATACACTATTTAAATGTAAAGTCCCTGTACCTCAACAGGTTTTGTTTTCTCCCTAGCCTTAACTCTGGTCCCCAAAATGACACAGATACCACAACAGTACCAGTAAGAATCAGCATTCTGATTATATAAAAGCATTACCGTATCGCAAGCAAGCCTTTAAAAGCTGCCTGCTGGCACATCAAGACGCGAAAGAAAGAAGACAACCTACCTGCTGGCAAGGAAAGTCTTGAAATATCTGGAAGAATAAAGAAATACATTTAGAAACAAGGAAAAGTAGTTTTAAAATTGTGTTAGCCCAATCACCTTCCCGCAAGGCTGTACTCGCACATTATCTGAAGCCATCCGCTAGCTGCTAGGCACCCCACGTGCAAACTAAAAGCACTTCCCTTGTCTCACCCCTGTTCATCAACGAGATTAGATTTTGCCTACCCAAGTGAAGGATAAACCGCTACACAATATATGTTTAATTACTACAAGAGAACGCAGGTCACCAAGTACAAATTAACGTTACATAGGGATTTTGCCATTATCACCCATATAATTTCAGAGCTGAAACTGTCAGGTTAAGTCTGCGCCTCCTCACAAGAGGACAATACTGTTCATTTTCTTTTTTCCTTAAAACTTCAGAGGTAGCCAAGCAAGTTCCAAACTTAAGAAGTAAAATTAAAAGAAAGGAAACCTATCTTGGTAAAGCTGATTGTTACTTAACATTTTCATAGTACACGCTAAGTGTGTCTTGAGCTACAGTGTCCCATGTGCCTCACGGAGGGACAAAAAAAAAAATCACTGCTTCAAAATCTAAACATATCATACTAAAAATTACACCTTAAGAATGACAGACGTTAATGCAAAGACATTAAATTTCCCTAAAAAGGTAATTATAGCTTGTTACCTTCCTTCAGACTGTTTTTCATATACGCTGTTGTTATCTCAGTAAATGTGACGTTAATGGGGCTTGGGGTGCCAGTTGGAGTTCAGAACAAACTCCAAAACCCACAAAGGACCAGGAATCAAGAATCACTGCAAGTCAACAAGGACTGGCAACACAAACTCAGGAGGTGATAAAAAGCTGAAACAAACAGAAATTTAAAAAAAAAAAAAAAGTAGTAAGAAAATAAGAAAGCCCGAGAAAGAGATCAGAGAGAAGAAGCATAGTTGCTTGGATTAAAGAAAAAAAGAAACAAAACAAAAAATTCAAACGCAAAATGCTGAGTGACAAAAATCAATGTATTGGGTACAAAGTCCATGTGGATTCTGAACTTCATCCATAGCCTTAAGAACTGGAGCAGATTCAGAGACCATCAGGGCAGATGGTCCCTACTCTGCTACCTATTAGAAAAAATAAGGACGCTTAATAAATTTAGCACTGAGACACACGAAAAACCACGCTTGGTTTCATTTATAATCCATGTTTGCGTCTGCAAAAATGTGATGGAATTTGAACGCTGAACACAATCACATCTGAAATAAATAAATCTCTAAAGGCAGCTTACTTCAAAACAAACTTCAAAACTGAACTTTAGTATTCGTCCTGACGAAAAAACTCTCCTGGAGCGGCAAACACAGAAGTTCAAAGACACTTAAAAATGCAAAATGAAAACAGCAACAGGCCACCCCAAAAAAAGAGAAAACATTGCAGACTTTATTCTGGCAAAAGCACACAAAATTTTCAAAAGTAACAAATCACGTTTATAAAAAGATAAGCTCACCACGCTGCCTTCTGCGACAAGCAACACCAGCTTATGTACTAAGAAATGCCTTTAGACGGTAAAAACAATAAGCAGGCAGGAAGAAGATGCATAAGCTGCATGAACTGCAGGAAGGAAAAGCCTCAAGTTGTCTCCGGCAATAGTTTCTGCACAGAATACAGAGCAGTGTATATAATGCTCTGGCAGAAAAATACGTCGTAGTAACAATCAACTTCGAAAGTTGAAGGAATCACGAGAAACGTTGCGTCTTTCTGTTGGTTTGTAGGTTTGTTTGATAGCTTCCACACACATTTTTGATGCAGCCAAAAAACAAAAATTTCGGTTTGTCACTAGGATATACAAATACGAACAATTTTATCCACTTGAGTTTAAAAAAACCTAAAATATCAAACAAAAATATCGTGGCTGATTTTAATTTTTCTACTATGATGGAAACTAGCCTCTGAATTCAACTGTCCGTAAAATTATAGCATCTTGAAAAATTTAATTTACTACAAAGAACAACAAGCTCCAACAAAAGTGTGTGAGTGCTGATGTACAGGAAAAGTTTATATCACAGCGTTTATTGCTCTCAAAGCAGGCTATCTGACTAAGTGTGCCTACGCAGAAGATTAAGAAAACACTAGTAAGCATGACCACCAGATAAGAACATTATAATATGCACACACATATGCAGAAAACATTAACTTGTATTCTATGAACTTAGCCATGCAATTTCAAATACCTTCACGGAAAGCCATGTTGTTAAGACGCACATAATTTTTAACTTAAGAAAGAACTGCTCACATTTTGGTGTTTGCACTTAACACCTGAGTCTCCGTTTCCTCAGCGATTTCTTTGCGAATACGCCCCTGCGTTCACATAAATCCCACTAATTTCGCTGAGACCTGCCCAGGAAGGGTACCTACAAGATCAGCCCGTTGCTGTATTTAGTCAACAGCCATAATGATTTATTACTTCCAAGTTCCACTTCAAATTAGTTTCATAAGTGCATTAACTGAAGAGATGCTACACCTCTGGGACAAGTATACTTAATGTAGCTTCCTGCAAGCAAGCGTTCTTCTAATACAACTGAGTATAAGGAAGACTCTTTTCTAAGATTAATCCACACATGCGAGATTTAAAAGCAAGGAGGACAAAAGAAACAGAAGCCTGAAGGTCACATCAGCGTGCTCAAAATTGCAGAAATGCACTTAGCCAGTTATCCGTATCATATTTTTCAAGGATTTCCATTAAGCATAAGGTCTTTTATAGGCTAATGCATCTCAGCTCTGGCAAACACCAGCCACTACAGAATAGCAACTCATAACAGCATAAATAAAGCATTCAAAATGCCATGATTCCAAGAGAAAAGCCCCATTTCTGTGCATTTTTGTGTGTTTACTATTTGCATAACCAGGTACCACAACAGTAAGCGTATGTTCACTAGCGTATGTTCACATTTTTAGTTGCAGAGTCATTCCAACTTCAAAGATGGACTTCCACGGTATTTCTTACCCTTGGATCTACCCTGTTCCCCCAACCTCTCATCTTCTGTATCTTGAAACTTCTCAGCTTCAGTCCCCAAAGATTTTTCTTTTTAAATTAAAAAGAAAGCCAAATCCCCTAGTATGTAACACTAAAAAAAAAACATTAGTGGATTATGGCAACATTTTAAAAATTTCACACACTGAAAAATGCATTTAAGCTAGCAACTCATTTCAAATTATAGATTTACACAGATTTACACGCTTGCCTTCTTCATAGTGCAAAGCTGTCACATTTTGTGCACCCCTTCTCTACTCCCTTCCCTCCCTTTTTCATCTTTCACTTACTGTAGCAGACTGGAGTTCACAGAGCCAGACCTGGCGCTTCCAGAAGTGCTGACACCTGACTGCCCAACACCCTTGGATCGAAACACAGCCACAAAGGCTGCTGGAGCAGCGCAGCCGCTCTCCGACAGCGATACGGCTAGCACGAATCTCTTCGCCTCACAAAACCCGTTAGCTGGGAATTTATGCTCATTATAATCCATTCCATTACAGGGCTGTCCTGTTGGTAAGGACTCCCTCATCTGACGGGGGCCTGGGACTGACTTTTCTCCTGAAATTCATTTCCTGAATGCATATGAACCCTATCCCCAAAATTCATTTCCTGAGTGCATATGAATCCTATCACACAAACCGCGTTTACAGCGGCACAGCACAAACCAATCTGACATTTCCTATCTGTTCCAAAACTGTTCCTCCAAGTGTAATTAAAAACTGATCAGACTTCTGCTTCATGTTCTTCTCTTTCTACTGATGCTTTCAAGGGTTCAATCACGTCCCACATTTATTTTATATTCTTACGTGTCTTACCATGGTATTATGTAGGGAACAAACTGCTAGTGATTAAAAGGGCAGGCAAAAAGTGTAACTTTTGGATCATATTCTTTACAAGCTTTTCACACGCCTAGTAAAGATGGTCTAGTTCTCAAAAAAAACTCTTTTAATCTCAGATAGTGGGAGGATGGAGCAATTCCCTCCTGAGGTCCCTTGCAATCAACATTTCTGTAATACTATACACAGATGACAAAAACAGAACTTGAAAAAAAAGCTAAAACAACTTTAGAGGCACTACAAAACAAAAACTCCTCAGCCAAATGTCAAATAACACAGTTATCTACAAGAGTTCCCTGAAGAACATAAAAGGACTCCATGTTGGGAAAGAATTCTGCTACTACTTCTATACCTGCTGAGATGTTTTGGGGCAGTATAAACCTCACATAGATTTTGTGGATCCACTCACTCTCTTTCTTTATCACTGGTCTTTTCTATGAGATCCAGTACTAGAAGGCGTTCATATACCCATAACGCTATATATGCTTTTATGAAAGTATGCCTTTTGTGCTGCAGGTTTTCCTCAAATGCTTTCTTGGAAATGGAGCCACAATTTAACATCTTGCTTTCCAAGACTAACATCTAATCATCAAAAATATGAATATTTTGTGAGCTTCATGTTCCTGCATCAAAGCAAAATGAGAATGCGGCTCCGTGGACAACAACGGAGGCTCACACTCATACTCAGCCTGCAACCAGGTCTGTCTCCAGAATTGTGGTAAGGAGCAGACCACAAGAAATTTAATTCTGTTCTACTGCAGCAGCAACTGACTGTCTTGAGCCTGACGATATTCTCTTGAAATGAATTTGATACTCAGTTCACAAACTGATCTCTCATTCTAATGGTAGTAAAGGCTAGCAGCGCACTGAGAACCGCAGACCACAACCTCCAGGAAGTCGAGCAACACATGGCATTCAACAGCACAGCAAGCCTTCCAACTGAAGGAGGAATATCCCAGCCACAACGTAAAAGGCAATTTTCCTGCTCACATCCCAGGGCCAATATTGCACAACAATACACGCAAGTATTCAGCTTTTAGTTTCTGCATGAGTGATGCTTGAGGATGTTGCTTTACAGGCTGCATTCAACAACGCAGAAGCTTCCCTTCCTACGATTTTCTGGCAGGCTAAAAGGCTGCCGAATCCTCCTCCATCCTCTAACGACA